TGACGGCCAGCGGGCGGCGGCCAAACCGGCGCGTGAGGATGCACCCCACCGCGGACACGACCACTCGCACGAGTCCGATGACGTTGGTCGCCACGTACGAGTCCATCCCGCTCCCGACCCCGTCCAGGATGCTCACGGTGTAGAAGGACACTGCGTTCACGCCACTGCATTGCATCACGAGGAAGAAGACGATCATGACGAAGAATGGTTTCAGGAACGACATCTTGCACACCTCGCCCCACAGGTCCGCCCAGGTCTGTCTCGGGCGCTCCGCTGCGTGTTTGCCCAGCAAGTCCGTCAACTCCTTGACGACATCCGCTGAGCACCCGCGGTACCACCGGAAAGCAGCCGTTGCTTCGGCGTGCCGCCCCCTCGCAGCCAGCCACACGGGTGACTCGGGCACCCAGAACACGCCTACGTAACAGACGAGAGGGAAGACGGCGCTGATGGCAGCGGCGAGTTGCCAGCTGAGAACGGTACCCAGGAAGTTCCCCACGAGAATTCCGATGGCGACGGCCAGGGAGACCATGGCCAGCAGCACGCCGCGGAACTCGGGGCCAGAGGTCTCGGCGATGAACACGGGCGACAACGGACCGTTCATGCCAAGACACAGGCCGGTGAGGAACCTACCGACATAGATCGCGGGGACGTTCCGGGCCACCGAGATGAGAACCCAGCCCAGGATATGGGGCACGCAGACGACTTGGTGGGCGGCGCGTCGGCCCAGCCGCTCCATGAGCAGACCGCCCAGAACACATCCCGGCGCCATGGGCAGCGCCGCGATGCTCGCTGCGAACACACAGCAGCAGGGAGTCAACCGGTCACACGTGTCTTTTTTTAAAATAAAAAACTCACGGGGGTCGTCTTGTGGGTCGTGACCAAGTGTGGACACGCTGCTTTAAAATAAAAAACTCACGGGGGTCGTCTTATGGGTTGTGACCAAGTGTGGACACGCTGCTTCCCATCTTAGCCCTGAACATGGAGACGTTACGCTGATCCGAAACTTCGGCATTCGCCTGTTAAGTCGACACGGCGTCACAACCCAAAACGACGACCACCTGCAAGACCGCCTTCGTGGTATTGCGTCTCATTCAGTTTGAAACTAAATAACCGGAACAGCTGATACAAAGTCGTCGTAACCACGGCCGATGTGTCGTCACGAATGGCAATGCGACCACGTGGCCACTCCAGCACACAGACAGACAGACAGACGAGGAGAGCGTCCCAAGTACCTGCTACTCACCGATCCAAGAGGCTTCATCCTCAGTAACGGTGATGGTACTGTCCGGGGCCTGAAGCTGGGGCAGTAAGACGGCTGAGAAGCCTGTTGTAATGCCCGAGCTGATGATGGCCGCCATCGGCCCTGCGGCCGCCACGACCTGGACATAACACGCACTTTGACAGCTGAGAAACAGCGCCACACGAAGAGGAAACTGATGTAGCCAAGCAAACACCGACCTCCACTACGCGACCTTCGTACGTCTACGTATTTGTTTCTGTCTGTCGTGCTGTGTGATAAGACAGGTTCGCCCGTTATCCACCATTATCTCCTCACTACTTTATCCCTTTCATTGTTAATCTGTTTTGACTTAATTGCTCAATTCTTCTACTCACGAGAGCTCTGAATTCTTACTTCAGTTGATATCGGAAGGCTAACTAAGTGGTACATTACCTGCCTCAATACCGGGGTGCCCCAGTGCGGTTTGCCGTCCACCGTCACCACCAGGACGTCGTCGATAAGAGGCTCTCCCTCCGGGCGAGGCAGTTGCTTGTCCCCCGCGTCTCTGCAACAACACAGGAAAGTCACGGACGGTAGGAACGCGTGGCTTCTCGAAGCGCGGACAACAAATGAAATGCGGAAAAGAACGACCTGAAGACACGACTGCCTCATTCGGCCATCGTCCCTGAGGCAGAAGCACCCAAGAAATTTTCAGTGGTTGTGAGTGGAGGCGAGAGAAAAGGAGTTTGAAGCATCGCCCGTGAAAAAGTCTGCCCCGAGACACCGTGAGTTACCGGGGCCAGTACTTGCTATCGGGGCAGAGAAATCGAGGAGGCGACAGTGAGGGCGACTTGGTCAAGGCTGCCTGTGCTACTGGCTCCAGAAGGATGTGGGCCACGACGCGCGGGACTGATTGTGTGACGAGCGATAAGGCACAACGACGCAGCAACTGAGATCGCCGACGCACTGACGAACCCACTGCTTCATCTGCGGTGAACGTGCCCTTACCCACGTGTCGGACTCGTAGGTGGCTGACCATTTGCTGACGACGAACAAAAACCCACAAATTTTCGGTATGCGATGCTGATAGTGGCATTTCCTGTCATTGTTGCAACGCCCAGACTCGGTTGTCAGAGCCTCGTTTTACGCAGGGGTCTGCCTGTCCCACTGCAAAACTCGTCTTTTCTGCAAATCTGGCAAAACAAAATGGGGGCCAGTGGATGCGATACCCAGACATTTCCACCTCGTTACCTTCTTGACTGAGATTCTTCTTTGCGTCTCCCTCACATCTCTCTCTCGGTCCTCCAAGTTGCCGTTTTCTGCTGTTTCGGAAAACAAACAAAAAAATTCCTTAAGCATTTCTTCTGTCCCTCGCACTAGCCTCACGCCCAGTCCACCGAATCCTCCGAATGCTCACAAGTCCCAACAACAGCAGAAGACCGGAAGTAGACAGTTGCTCAAAGTGGGGGATCGGCGGCTTCGGAATGTTTTCCACTGGATCTTCCTACTTTACACAGGCCTAAATATCTGAAGACAATTTACATCGATACTTGATTCGGTAATTCTGAATGCAATGGTTTGACTTTAAGCCTGATCAGGTTCGTCGTGCCGCGAGCCTATTACGGCCCCCCCTCCCCGTGAGACCCTTAAATGGGCCAGGGCCCATATTAGGAAGTTTCGAACCGCATGAATCTGGATTACTTTATTTGGCTTAATGGTGAAGGAAGTCCATTAGCTCTGCTGTAAAAGGCGATTATACATTACAGAATTGTTCAACCGGGAGCTCCAGGCAGGTTTGGCCGTGGCTATTTTCTGGCTTCCTGTTTTTATCAAGGACAATTTTTAACAAATATTTATGCTCAACCACAAGGCGAAGACGAAGTACAAATTTACTATGAGATTATTATTTTAGATACGAAAACTAGATCACTTCCCACGCCAGAGCGTAAAAATGCAACGCGGATTTTGGCTGTGAGCAAAAAAGTGCGTATTTGAGGCGTACGATCTGAACGTTTTTGAAGGGGTTCTCAGACAGCTGCTAAACTGCATAACGCGCGCAGATCAACATTCCAGACGGTCGAATCATACGTAAATGTCACCTTTCTACACCCCAAACAACTGTGCTTGGACGCGAGACAGTTTTCCCCACAGAAATCTGACAAAAGTAGTTGATTCAATTACTGCACAGACATTTCGGACTGACGGCTGCACTTGTGTCAGTCAGCCAGAGGAATCAGAATCGATCGAGAAGACGGTGCCTGAAGAAGCGAGTAGCAAGCGAAATTCCACATCTCAGCGCACGAATTTGAAGACCCCCACATATGAAGATGGCTCGAAATGCGTTTCTCAAGACGGATTTTGGGAACGCTACTTCAAAACACGGTCAATGTTAGTTAATGTCATTTGTGACGCACTCCTCGCCGCTCAAAAATATTTCTTCTGTAAAGGACACGTCCAGTCGTGTCACTTGTAGCAATCAGGACCACGTGAATTCCTGATATGGGATATGCCATTTTATTGAGGTTTAGAGCGTTAAATGTAGAACGGTCTGCCCGGTCATGTAACTTAATGGCTTTCGGAACCTGACCTGTGCCATACATGGCTGTTCGTAAACAGGGAGTTCAAATTTGGCGAAGCCCCTCGCTATGTGATATCCCCAATAGTTCACTTCCTTCCCTCATGCCTTTCAGGCGTAAATGCTTTGTCACGAAAAACTTGCGATTCGCAGTGAAACAACGACTAAACCAACTAAACTACTTTTTAAAACTGCATGTTCTGTGAAGTTTGGACCGACCATCGGCACAAGAGCTGTTTGCCATTCCACGGGGAGTGAAAGTTACTGTTATTACCGCCGATGGCACATAACAGCGTCTGTCTACTTCGTCTCGATTCCGGCGACAGAGTCCCTGGGTTCGATAAGGGCGTACAGTCAGCTGCCTTCAATCCGCGATATACGCTACACAAACAGCAGATAAAACCACGTGATTCAACGCCACTTACAGCCCGAACAAGTTTCTTTATCGCGTTACGTGAAAAACAAACTGACTGAAAGAAAACAAGACGGCTGTTTTCTGGAATGTTCCACCGTGTAATTAATGATCGCTAATCGCCCTGATGACAGAGGCAGTAAGTACCTCTGAAACATCAGCTTCTTCGTTCTTACCCTATAACGCTCTGCCCAAGTCAGGATACCAACAAGACAAAGTAATCGTTTGGTATTCTGGCCTAAACCTGATACGATGCGTCCTTCTGCTCCTCCGTTCTACGCGGAAACAAAGTTTCCGAGGCAAAACTTCGCGGCTGAGGAACGGAGGCCGACGTCATGTTTGCCCTTCGACCCACGAGGATCCTGCATTAAACGATGCTGTTTCTGTCACAGCCGTCACGCTGAGCCTCCCCCCCCCCCCCCCCCCCCGCAAATTACAAGTTGGCTGTACTCACGGAAGTCCGTCGCCTAAACGTGCGGTTTCCATGCCGGCAAATACGCGACTGGCGCGTGGGCTACGTGCTTCAACGGCGCAGCTAGCGCGACCTGACTGAACACTACGCAAACAGCAGTTTTCCTGCTTTGCCAGTGTTATTATCTGCCATAATGAAAGCAGCGTCATTCTCAAGTAGTTCAAGGTCGCTGAGCTGTCCTTGAGAACTAACCCGCCTGCTGGGAAACCCGAACGTTCATCACCGTGTTCACAACAGCCCACCAACGGACCCCATCCTGAGCCAGATGACTCCAGTTCACATCCCTATTTCTATCAGATCATTCCAATATTATTATCCCCTCCTCTTGCGTGATCTTTTGCCGGTTTCCAGGTTTCTCCTGTAAAGTATTCAACGTGCGTCTCATCTCCCTCAAGGCCACCCAGACGCGTACCTCGTCCGATCTTCTCAGACGGAAACTTGCTCTACTCTTCAAAGCAGTCAGTCGCCGAATTTGGAATTCCTTTCAGTGCCCCTGCCACATTCAGGAACGCGTTAGGCGTTGGAGAACCTCACGAGACCTCCGCCCCCGCAACTGCGCTGATCGCAGGTGAGCTTCATCGCCCACTCCCAAGGAGGCGCCATGAAAAGTTCTCTTAACTTTTCATGGCGTCGGTGGACTTGTCGTAAATCGAGCGACGTCCAACGTAATTTTACGACGCTGTACCGACTGATGAAACCATGTTGGGAGGAAGAACAAACGTTCGTAGCACAAAGGACGGCCCGTTTTCAGAAAATGCTGAACTCCGTTCGACGCCCACTTGAGCAGGAATTATCGTCGCGCTGAACTCCGAGACATTCGGTTGGTAAGCGTGATCCGCCTTCACCTGTGATGCGAGTCAGTTGTTTCGAAGGAGCGAGCTCCAGTGCATCACAACAGGTGAGTTCGCGAGTGGTGGAACTTTCATGACCAACAAGTTCTTGCATTCCGACGTTACGTCATAATCGTCGCTCGCTGAGCAGGTGCGCGAAAGCCTTCTCATCTCGCTAAGTGTCCAGCAGGAAGCACGAGAGTCGGTCTTCAGAGGTCGCTACTGAACAGAACACACAAACAAGCGCCGAGAGCCTTATCTCACGGATCCTGCCTCAACAACCAATTTCACTGCCTGCAGCAGTCAGTGCGAGGAGGCCTCAGGTCTCGGTGTGGACCAACCGAAGTCGACACACATTCCGGCGCGGCCCTGGTGTTGCCCGAACTAACTTTCACGCGACGTACAAGGTCGTGCTTTGGCCGCCAACCCCAGTGGCTAGGAGGAGGCTCAAAGTGGTTCCGAAGCAGATCCGGACGCAGCGGTAGAGAAGGCGGAGTTCTGTAACACCGGCCATCGAGACCGCGGTTAGGATCGAGTGTTTGTCCCTTTGAGTAGCTCGCAGACCTGGCAGCGTCATTTTAGGGCGGAGAGGGAGAGAGATGTGACACGAAAGAATCAGCGCTCAAAACTTGATCAAGGTTTTAGAGGACAGACAGGTAACACATTTGTCACATTCCTCGAAGGGGAAACATTCTGGAGATAATGACGGGATGGTAATATTGAAACGTATCTTAAAAATCGCATACGACGATAAGGACCCAATTGTACTGGTGTCTAATGGCGGGCTTTCGGAAATGGGGTACTATTAGTCTTAGGGGTTTATACTAGGAATGACTTAACTTGACAGCGGTTCCTTCTCTGATTCAGTTACCGAAGAGCCACCAGATGGAAGGACGCAACGCGCCACCGTCTCGCCGCTCCATGCTGACACAGGTGAGCCACGCGCCTTCACAGAAGTGTCCAACGCGAGGTCTCTACCAGCGCCTGATAACACGTATTTTCGTGGCGTTGCAGGTATCAGTGGGCCTGTTGGCCAATTTGGCGTCCATCTCCCCGGGCATGAACCTGGGATTCTCAGCAGTTGCCCTGCCCGCCATGCGGACCGCCAACGACACGGCGACACTGACAGACGACGAGGCTTCATGGATAGGTGAGGAGGCGCTGTAAGACGGCACGCGGACCAGCGCGGTGCGGCGGGCCCTTGGCTT